GAGATCTATTCACGATTCTTTCATTGCGCAAAAATCAGCACGCACAAATGTGATCCCACAAGCACCAGTTGATCTGGTCTGTGAAGATAGCTCCATTCAAACAGTGCTAAATTCGACTAGAACTAATATTGTAGGCCTTTATTCCCTAACCTTCACACTAGCTGATAGCTTGATTCTTTGACCCAAACAAATATGAGCTTCGTGTCACGATACCAGCTTTAACCTGCACTCTTCCCCTTCCTAATGCTATCTTTAGGTACAACTCTTGTGGTGCTTAAGGTGGTTGACACCACCATTGGGAGCTTGCTTGTTTTAGTTGTAGATCCTTACCTTACATCTTGGGGGGTCTAATACTAAGTGTCGAGATTGGGGTATATCTCCGTCAAGTATAATAGATGCAATGGCACAATGTCGTCTGTAATAAGTCTAGCTTGGTCAAGTTACCAGGTCTTTTATCCCTGGTTTCGTGATTGGTTATTGCGCTGTCATGTGACTCTGGAAGTTGATTGATGTGTCCTTTTCCTTTCTACTTCGTCATTTGAAAAAAGAATGATGCAGTGATGTAATATCACTAAGTTTTATAAATAAAACCTTCATTTGAAGAAGAAGAATGTATGTCAATGCGGCAAAAAGACTATGCAATGTGCTAATCGGATCAATATATAATGCAATTAATCGTAGTCATACTCTCGTGTATATGATTTGGACTGGAGCATTCTGCTAGATTACTAATCCAAAGTACTTATCATGATAGTCTCCGATCATTATGCATGCATTGGCATTCTTTCTGTGATCACGCGCGACCCAAATGACTACAAATTTAAGTCAGTTATTTACACATCACAATTTGAGCGACACTTTTGATCTTTAAGCAGACACCCTCACCTGTTTAGGCAGGCTCACATAATTTTCAGAAGATTTCAATGAAAATCAAGCATGAAAAAAATTTCTGAATATATAAGAAGGTTAAACAGAAACAAAAAAACAAGCAGCAGCAGCAAAGAAGAAAGAGCTACAGGTTAGTTATATCACCCCTAATGGGAGTTGTGAATAGCAGCTAGCTTTAAGATTCAAGAAACTTAGTTTTAATGTTTTATCAACCGAATATTGCTGTTTAACTACTTTGGACTGTTTGATTGTGTTGGAGTATAGATAGTCTAGGTTTATTAGGATTTCTTTTCCTAGGTTTATTAGGATTTCTTTTCCCTTTAGGATTTCTTTTCCCTTTTTTACTCTTACTATGATTTTTATATTTTGCCTATATATACGGGGTTTTACTCTTAATTTGAGTATCTCCTTTTACTCACAATTATTTCAAGTTGGTATCAGAGCAAGGTTAGGGTTTGGGGTAGGGTTAGTGTATGGCTCTACCAGCCATACCGCCGAAACCACCCTGGCCATCAACTGCCTGAAAGTTGAATAGGAGAGGTTAAAGTGACGGCGTCNTCTCCCAGGGCTCTCGTCTCCTAAGAAGGCTATTGATTGACATCTGGGCAACCCAAACTAGAATAAGGGTCTGCTCGATGGAGTCAAAATGATAGAATGAGTTGGACACTCAACCATGGAGAATCAGACTCGTGGCATAAAGTGCAGGATGAAGAGTAAAAAGATTGGATTATCCCTGTTGATATGTGGCTAATAGAAACAAACATTAATTGTATCATCAGTTGATAAGACATCTACTATGGCTTGATAAGCCGAGAAGTAAAAGTATTAAATGCTCAGGGATTCAAGCATTAAATGCCTCTATGTTGAAGAAAGAACATTAAATGCTCAGCGAGAAGGGCAATCAATATTGAGACATTCCCCATAGAAAATAGGGGGCACACTGCCCCATCTCTGAAGGCTTCCTATTGCCTAGACTACCGACAATGATAAGTCTTAGAAGGTATAAATAGTCTTCAAAAATACTTCGCAAAGGTANGAAAATAAGAAAGATGGAAAAGTTGATGAATGAGCTTTCCATCTAACTCACCAAAATCAATCTCTCTAAAATTAGAAGGAAAGTCGATGAAAAATTAATTATTTGTGTGAAAAAGTATCTTATTTGTTTATTAATTATAACTCGTGCATAAAGGTACGATAGAACATAAAATTCGAGGCTCTAAAAAACCGATCTCACTATATTAAATAATTATTTCTTCCTTCGTTTATTTGACTACATTATTCAGAATTTATTTTTACCCATTATTTTGTTAAAAATATTAACAATTTTCTCAAAATACGTAATTTGATAAAATTTTCTCAATATGTGTATACTATCATGTATAGATAATATTTTAAATAAAAATTATGTTAAACAACAAATTAATCAAATATTAAATGATTGAACATATGATAGAAATTATTGATGTAATCGTTTTATGGGGAAAAATGTATAGAGGATAAAATTCAACTTCTTATGTGTTTTATTATATATATTAATTTCATATATAAATACAATGATAAAATATGTATTTAATATTTATACTTTTTTTAAAAAAACTTAGAATTAAAAAAATTAAAAAAAAAGTTATCTTATCAAGTACGAAAAAAAAATTCATCATTTTTATTTTTCATTTATTCTACTAAATACAAAATAATGAAAGTGTATTATTTTTACTTTCATTTTTTGGAGAATAAAAAGTATTTTCCTCCTACTTTTCATCATTCTTAACAAACGAATAAGCATTAAAGTAGTTGTTCATAAACTCTGATCGGCAGCCACCGCCTTGATTTAAAAAGGGAGAGGGAAGAATTTTCATAAACTCCTATAAAGATGCTGCAATAATCCAGAANGATATGTTGCATTCGTTTGATGGTTATTTCTTATGAGGCAGCAAAAGGGGTGGTCCTTTGAAGAGTCTTTGTAGTGCATGCTTAGGAATCATACAAAATTATCATGTGAAAAATGACNGTATTGCTGTTTAACTACTTTGGACTGTTTGATTGATATGTTGCATTCGTTTGATGGTTATTTCTTATGAGGCAGCAAAAGGGGTGGTCCTTTCAAGAGTCTTTGTAGTGCATGCTTAGGAATCATACAAAATTATCATGTGAAAAATGACAATCACCGTTAACATCAACCTTGCACAAGCTAGTTTCTTAAACTTCTCTTCAGCCTACTCTTTTGGACTCTTCACTATCATCTTTTATGCTTCTTTTTGAAATTCAGCGTTCTGTAACAGATCAACCAAAGAAACAGATGACCCAATTAAGATGAGTCAATATTTGGTTTACCTTGTGGAACAAAAGCATGTATATTGTAATATCAGATATTGTTTAGTTAGATACCAACTTAACATAAGAGGCACTGGTGTTAGAAGGACTATGTCCTAATGTAAAAAGGGGGCAAAATTCTTNCGTGTAACAAAAACATGTATATTGTAATATCAGATATTGTTTAGTTAGATACCAACTTAACATAAGAGGCACTGGTGTTAGAAGGACTATGTCCTAATGTAAAAAGGGGGCAAAATTCTTTCAGGATACGAACCCTTGATGCCAAGACTCGACNTGTGGAACAAAAGCATGTATATTGTAATATCAGATATTGTTTAGTTAGATACCAACTTAACATAAGAGGCACTGGTGTTAGAAGGACTATGTCCTAATGTAAAAAGGGGGCAAAATTCTTTCAGGATACGAACCCTTGATGCCAAGACTCGACCTCGCATACTATGTCCTAATGTATCCCTAGTAAAAAATAATGAAATGATTTCACTTTCATGTCATGTTTTAACATATTCTTGATTTTCCTACAATGATGAATATCAGATGCTCCTGAAAGCCAACTGCATTTATCAGGACTATTCAATTTAAATATATTGCTTGCTTACAAATTTTCTACTTGATAAGTGAAGCTTTAGAATCTTGATCTGGAAGAGGTAAAAGCTTAGGTTATTAAATCTTAAAATAGGCCATGTTGGGTGGTCTGCCTTTTACACTTCAGGTTGCTTTCTGGTAGATCTTATTGTCATGTGAAATAATTACTACTAGCACTTTCACCATATTATTCTCTTCCTTTTTGGCAGCCAAACTTCCAACAGTCACTGAACCAGAACTCAGCTTTAATCCACCCATGGGATGTACATTCCTAAGGAACATAACACACATGCTTGATTTTATAAGCAACCCACGAGAGCAACTACCCACCCAACCAACCAAATTCTCCCCATTCTCTTTTGTGGGATCCACTTGGCTAATAGCATTAAATATCATATCATTTTCATGTATATTTTACTCATTGCATAATCCTTATACAAGAACTCAGACCTGTGTCATCTCAATATGTAACAGTGTTTCTTTCCTCTGGCACCATTAAAGGCATGTGTTAGGATCATCAATACAGGTAAGTCGAACTTGTTATAAGACCAAGTTCTGGCAATTGAGATAATGCAGCCAGTGCGGTGATCAGAAAAATGGCAACAACGAAGAAAAGATCGGGAGCGGGAGACCCAAGCTGGAGAAGCAGGGCACATGCTGGATTGCTCAATCGGATGTTGTTCTGAGAATTTTGCATGTGCTCTTGCTCTCCAGCTTGAGCCCTATCCTACGTTTTCACTAGATGAGAGAAATCCAGACAGGCTCAAAGCAATACAGGTAACTTCCCTATTTTGCTTGTGTTTTGACATGGATTTCATGGGGTGCATTTCGAGGATTTGCATTCTGCCTGCGTAGAAGAACTACTGCACTGCTGGATTATATGCAACAACACATCATTTTTGTAAACATTGTGGCATAAACTTACATCAATCTTTGGTTCTATATTACCATTTCATCATGCGGATGGGGCTGGAGAGAGAGAACATTGGGTGGCTGGTCTACGTGGTGGATGAGGAGAGAATAGAAACATTAGGTGGCTGCCAGCTCAAACAAGCCACCCAGTGTTCTCTCTCCTACTCCACCACCACGACCCCACTTGAATGGAGTGCCAGCTAATGGGTTTGATGGCCATTACGTTTTGATGAAAGAGGCAATAGACAGATTCGGTACTTGAATCCCTGCAAGACAGTACAAGTTGCAGTTTCCTTAAATCAATATCAGATACACAATAAATAAAGAGGCGGCCATGAATGGCTGCATTATTTTCTTTTACAAGGACAATTTTGATTTACTCACGGTATGACAATCAAAAACACCATAAGTAGTATAAATTACTAAGCTTTTAAGCTGAACGAATTTACATGACAATCCACTTGTTGATTGAACCACGATTAGATTGGCCTTCTAGAGCTGATGCAGCTGAATCCACATGAAGAAGCAAACAACCATAAACTTTTTGCTTCAATCTATCAATTGTCTCCACGAGCCCATTTTTCTCAGAGTTCAAGTTGGTTCTTAATTTATCCAACCACTCATTTGCATTCTTCAGTTGAGATAATGTGACAGCAATATGGCTGTTTGGCTCTATGGGCCGCCCAACAGTATCCTTCACTTTCCTTTCCTGACTGCCCACCCGGAACCCAACGTCAAGTGCTCCCTCCAAGAATTTTAAAAACCAAGATTGTGTTTGATTTAACATATTCTGTTTTAGCTCTTCAACCTCTTTTGCACCATTGGCTTTTGCCCATTCTAGTTTATCAGCCAGACTTAGCTCTATCGAGGGCATAGCAGACTTCAATGCATTTTTCCCCTGTATAAGACCTGTCTTTTTGCTGGATTTGTCTCTGTCTGATGTAGATGAGTTAACAAAAAGTGATTTATCCTTTGTTGGGCTCGTGACATCTGGTTGCTCAATGAGCTGGTAAAGTGCAAAGAACTTGCTGAGAGAGAGGTGGGGGTTCTCTGTTGAGGCTGATGAGCAGAGATCCGCAAACATTCTGAAAGAAAAGATAGAAACAAGAAGTGGTATGTGAGGAACCTTTCTTTTCTGCATCTGAGGAATTCCATTCATATGTAACTGATAATGTAAACATTTTCAACTCAGTATCATTCATAACAAGATTTAAACTTACCCAAGGCACTTGACAAGAGTTACTGCTGCCAATGCTTCTTTTTGAGCTTCTGCTGCTACCAAGGAAGCTAAGTTTCTCCTCCTAAGCATTCCCTTGTAGTAACAATAGAAGATGAGCAGAACAGAAACGTTGAGAGGTTTTAACAAACTGATATGATTTCTGTATGCAAATTCTGACTGTTTAACATATTTGCTAAACTTGGTATCACCAGGTCATATTCTATGTCCGCAGCACAAGAGAGTGGACAAGACAAATTACCTTCCCAGGCTTCAAAAGTTTAGCCGGCAGAGAGGACCAAGAAATTGCCTCAGAAGATTGGAATTGATCACTACTGTTCGACAAACAATTTAAGTTGATGTTTTCTTGTTTTCTTGTGAGTTTTGCAGCTGAGAATTTTGCAGATGTCAAGGCCTCCTTCTTGTCAGATAAAGCAGCCTCTGGCTTCGGTGCATCAGGACGCTTGCGGGAAGGACTTGCTGGCCGTGTCTGTAATACAACTACCAGTAAATGTAATTGACTAGGATTTCTACATACAACTAACAAAAACTCACAATTTGAGGATACATCACACCATCAAAATTCCATCAGACTCTTCTCTTCCAGAATCATTGATTGCTCCTTTTTCCACCACGATCAATTCAATCAATCAGAATATAGTTTTAGTCTCAAGAAATCAGGAATATGATAGGGATGTATCCAACAACATTAACTAATTCTACTCAAACAGGCTTACCCAGTTCTTGCACTATCGTATGACTTGTATCATCCATTCATTTGATATTTGTGTAACCCAAACAGGTCTTGTTTGAAAAATTGAAGTGCAAGAGTATTTGATGTGCCATTAAGAAATGTATCTATATCTCTATAATGCAAGATCATACCTGACTCTTGAGCTCTTGCTGTTTGCCTTTCAAATTTCCAACCTTCTTACCTGCTCCACTATTCTCAGTCTCACTACTCTTCCCAGCGCCATTTGAATCAGCTCCACGTACTTTTGAGTTCGATGTCATGACACCCTGCATGTACCTAGATGCAACTATTACCTTNGAATTTCCAACCTTCTTACCTGCTCCACTATTCTCAGTCTCACTACTCTTCCCAGCGCCATTTGAATCAGCTCCACTTACTTTTGAGTTCGATGTCATGACACCCTGCATGTACCTAGATGCAACTATTACCTTCTCCTCCTTGATGACAATCTTCTTTTCGGGGTTCTCCTCTTTGGCTTCTGGCAGTTCACCCAATTTTGAACTAGTAATTTCGTCCGGATCAACTTGGTCAGGGCCCTCTGAAGGCTCTAACATTTGCATCAAATCTTTTGGATTACCTACAAATGAATGTCGTCCAGGAACAGGCCTAACCCCAACTAGAATAGGAACTGGAGTCCCGGCCTCCATTCTGTCAACATAGAAGAATTGGCCAAGCTGCAATTTATTGTTTAAGATGAGCTCATTATCTGCCTTTGATAATGAGACATATGTCGAATGAGAAGAATCGGAAACTTTTACAAAAAAACCATGGTTGGGCCATAACTCTGATCCATTCAAAGCAGGGACAATGCTGATCACTTGTAAGAGGACAGACCGATATTCACCGCGAACCTTTATACTTGAATTTATACTCTGAAGAAGCTTAAGTAATACTCCAGGGGTGAGTGATGCCATCTTTTCCCTGCTTTTTTCAAGAAATGAGGACTTCGAACCGACCCTGCTTGTGCATTCCAGAATCAAAGCATTAAGTTTGCCAGATTTTTTCATTTAGGTCCTCACCAAATTGTTCCGAAGCCACGAGAATATTAAGAAAGTTGAACCAACAAGAGATTAACTAGAACTTCAGAACATCAAACATTTGTAGGTATCATGTACTTAAATTGTCAACAGAAGAATCTGATTACTAAATGTGGCAGTCTACTTATTTTTGAGAATGATCTTATTTTCAGACTTCTTGTTCATAACACATGTTGTCATTCGAATTCCATGGAACCAACCAAATGTCTCCCCCCCCCCCCCCCCCCC